GCTCCGCCGCCGCCGGAATCCGCGGAGACAGGCAAGGGCGCGTGCCCGCGCAGAGGCGGTCGACGGCACAGCGTCCCCGCCCTCGGTGAAGGCGCGGCCATGCCGCTATTCGGACATGCGCGAGTCGGTGCGGAGCGGCGCAGCTCCTTCCAGACCCCAGCACAGCCAGCCCGACTCCAGCTCGCGCCCCTGGCACGATCGGAGGCGAAGTCGGCCCCCTGCAGACGGCGCCTGGAGTGCGTGGATGGGGCTTCTCCAGCCGGTTCGGGAGGAAGGGGGCGGGCAAGAGCGACCGCGGCAAAGGCGGTCGCGATAGCTGGGGAGACCGCCGCGGCGACGCCCGGGACTGGCCCTGGCGACGCGGTGACGGCTGGAACTGGTGAAAGCAGCGCGATAAGCCCATGGCGAAATGGTGGCTTTGCTGTGGCGCGCTGGGCTGCTGGTGGTTGTGTGAGCCTCGCGCCTGGGCCCGCCCGAATTCGGCGCCGTCGGAGACGTTGGGTCCCGATGGTGCAACGTCGGCCCTGGCTGGCAACTGCGGCCGGGCCGCCGCGGGGGGAGTCGCTGCCATGCGCTCCCTGCCGCCGAATATACAGATTCTTTCACTGCCATGAACCGTGTATTGACTAATCCACAGCTTTTTGGGATTAGAGAGTACAAGCGCGACATCTTTTCTTCTTTTCTTCCTATCCCCTTAACGGACAGTCGAACTTCATACTTTGACGGCTGACGCCGTTCACCTTGCCGCCTTGGTCTCTCGGGGATCCTCGAGCCCAAGACGTTCTTAGGAAACAATGCTAGGAGTGCCACGTTTACCACCAGTACATCCTGATCATATTGGCCCTATTGGGCATAATTTGGGTAAGTATGCATTATCCACAGTCGCGCACATGTATACACGTACACGCACTTACGCACATGTTGCCCGCATTCACGCACTTACACGACTTTGCACGCATTTGCACACGCTACATACATTTCGCACACTTACACACATTTACACACACTTATACGCCTGCGCACATTTACATCCAGTCACAAGCTCGTACACATTCTTGCACACACTTGCACGCATCTACGCGCACTTACACACGCACACACCTTTACAAACACGTAGACACACTTACGCACGCTTCCAAACACACGCACTTACACAAACTTGCCCGCCCTCGTACACACGTGCGCACACTGATGCACACTTACGCACACTTCCACACACTCTCACACACATGCGCATTTACACACTTTTACACTCACACACATTTGCACATACTCACACACACACGCGCTTGCGCACACCAATACACACTTGCACACACACACACACGCCCATGCACACTTACGAATATTCACGCACTTATACACAATCACACACCTTCACACACACTCACTTACACACTTACCTACACACGGACGAACACTTACACGCACCTACACACACTCACGCACATACACACACACCTCCACACGCACATATATATATATATACACACGCACCGACACACCGATGCACACTTACACATCTTAACATACTTACAGCACGCACTGACACACACTCACACTTACACTTGGCACAGTTTCACACGCTCACACACTGACAGACACACTCACACACACTTACACACATTTACACACGCACGCGCGTATACACATTTACACACATTGACACACACTGGCACACACTTGCACACACTTGCCCGCACTTACACACATTTACACACTTTCACACACCTACACACACTTACACACATTTACACGCACTTACATACATTTACACACACTGACACACACTTAACCGTACTCTCACACATTATACTGACGCACAGGCACCTACACACACCTACATACACTTACATGCACTTGCACACACTTATACACAGACTTACGGCCACATACTTACGAACGCTCACGCATCCTTGCGCACATTTACACACACCTACACATACTTACGCACACCTGCAGACACTTACAGACTTACCCACACTTACACACAATGCACAGAACACACAACACGTACAGCACACAACCCAACACATAACACACTTCACACACCACACAACGCACAACACACACAGCACACAACACACATCACATACAACACACACAACACACCCAACACACAACACACACAAGACACAACACACAATTCACAACACACAGTACACAACACACACAACCTACACAGCACACAACACACAACACACACAACGCACAATACACAACACACAGCACACAACAGACAACACACAACACACACACACACATCACACACAGCATGCACAACACACAGCCAACACAGCACACAACACACAACACACAGCACACAATACGCACACTTACACACATTTACACACATTCACACACACAACACACACAACAACACACAACACAAACAACACACAACACACACCACTCACAACACACATACACGACACACACAACACGCACAGCACACACAACACACATAACACATACCACACGCAAATCACACTGCACAGGCAACACACAACGCACAACACACAACACACAATACACAACACCCACATCACACAACACACAACGTACACGCAAATCATACAACACAACACACCACACACAACTCACACAACACACGACACACAGCACACACACAGCACACACACATCACACACACCAAAAACACACAACACACTACACACCACACACAACACACAACACACAATCCACACACAACACAACACACACAACACACACAATCACATACAACACAACACACACACACAACACACACACACATGGGGAGGGGAGGAGCGAGCGGGCTAGGCCAGCTCGCGCAGCATGGAGGAGCCGGATCCGCCCAAATCGCGAGGGGGCATGCGAGGAGGGGAAGGGCGGGAAATCGACGTGGGGTGAGGAGGCCATGGTGAGGACCAGGGATGCGGTGCGAACGGTGGCAGGCCGAGGCCAGGAAACGCGGCGAAGCCCAGCCGGCTGCAAAGGCAACCGGCCAGGAGGAAACAACGCAGCGCGTGGGCAGTGCGGAGGGCGAGGGGAAGGCGAGGCAGGCGGCCCCAGCAGTGGCCAGGCGCAGCGACACAGGGCGGAGGGGCGGCGCACGGTGTCCCCAGAGGGGGGGAGCATACGCGTGACGGAGTGAGAGGGCGGAGGCCTGACCCAAAGGGGGGGGGGCAGACGCGCCGCGGCCGAACGCAGAGAGACGAGAGAGAGCGGCCCAGGCGGAGCGACCTCCGGAGGGCGCGGTCAGGGGCGGGGTTCGGAGGACGCGTAATTAGGGGGCGCTAAATGAAGGGGCAGTGAGGGCTGCAGGAAGGGGCCCTTTGAGGCCTCTACAGGGGCCCTTTCGGGCCCAGAAGGGGGCCTTGGGCCCCCGAAAAGGGCACCCTCCCCCCTCCCATTTACCGCTCCTCATCAATTCGCGCCAAAGTGGCGGGGCGGCCAGGATGTGGGGGAGGGCGAGGGGCGCCCCCGCTTGCGGGTTGAAGGCGCGCCGGCATGGCTGCACTGAGGGATGGACCCAAGGAGCTCGGAGGTGAAGCCAGCAGAGTATTGCTTGGGATCCGTGTGAGTGGCGCCGATGGCAGCATCGCCGCGGCTTCTGACTCAGGCGCGCCACGCGGAATGTGCCTGGGCCCAGAGCGGCGCTTCGCGACTGCGAACGTCGGATACACGCCGCACCAATGCTTGCCAGGCAGTTTTAGCGGCCCTGCTTGTGCTGACGCGGCCCTGCGGGCTGGCTCGTGGACGGCGACCGCCCCAGCCACCGCTCGCTCCCGTGGGCGCCTCGGGATGGGTCTGGCACTTCTGCCAGCACGGCCTCAACGGGCTGCGAGAGCGGGGGGCCAAGCGCGCGGGCGGGAAACGCCGAGGCGCGGCCGGGCGGGCTGGGGGGCGCCGTCCGCCGCCGCTGTGCCGCGCGCAGGCCGCGGACGTGTGGGTGGGCTGGGGTCCCCGCGCCGTGGACGGGGCGTGGCCCCAGGTGCGTCTGGGCTCATTTGGGCTAGCTGCCCGCGGATCGGCTCCTGGCTCGGTCGGCCAGTCGCGGCCAGTGGAGCCGCTCAAGGAGGGGAGCCACTGCGCGCCGGGGGGGGCGTCGCGCGGGCACGGCACCAGGGCACCAGGGCCGACGGCCAGAGGCCGATGGGGCGGGGGAGCGCGTGTCGTCGCGAGGGGCGCCGATCGGAGGGCGGTCCTCCTCGCGGCCGCGCCAGACAGAGGAGGACAGCCACGTGCGCCGCTGGTAGGTCACGGCCTCCGCTGGGGAGCTGCCAGTGGAGGTCTCCGTGAGGGGAGGGACGACAGGAGAAGGCGTAGGGCGGCGGGCCCCGATGGGTGTTGGCGTGCCGGCAATCGGCGGCGGATCTGGCGGGGGGACCTCGATGGTGAGCGCACCGATGGGACTCGCTGCGCGCGCGTCGGGGCGCCGCAGCACCATGCGGATAATTATGGGAAGGACCCCTGTCTGGTGCCGCTGCAGCGGTGCCGATGGCATCCCGAGGGGGCGGGCGGTACCCGAGCGATATGATGGCTCCTGATGCCCAGTCGGACGGGTTGCAACGAGCAGTCGGCGCACCCCGGCGATGCGGTCGGGGATGCTCATTTCAACCCAATGGTCCACCCGCCGAGAAAAGCAGTCAGCATGTCGGGGTAGTGCACCTGTGGGTCGGCGATAGGCGCTGGAGAGTGGAGGGTGACCGAGGAGGCGACAAAACTGCGATCTCATTTGCTCGCCAGCGTCGCGCCTGGCTCGACGGAGCGCGTCAGCCAGTTTCTTCTGGGGGAACGCAGTGGGGTCGTACCCGTGTCGGCAGTGGCAGGATCGCACACGCGCTCACGTTCACACACACACACACACCCACACAAATTCATACGCATTCACATGTACACACATTCAAAGCACCTTTGGGAAGGGATTACAGGGGTAAGGGACAGTCAACCTTCTCAGGTACCTCGGTACCTAGTTCTTTCAGAAGGCCGCCGCCTGCTGAAAGCACTGAGGTAAGGCGGACTTTGATGCAGTTCATGACGCTTGACAGCGTGGCAACGATCTACAGGCCGCTGATCTTTGCGAAGCCGTGGTTGCCAGAGGAAGGAGAAGCGGCACCACCATCACCAGGGCCACCTGCGGCCAGCAGATCCGCTCCCGCCCGAGCTAGAGATTGGAGAGATCTCGAGCGCGACGCTGAAAAACCGACGCACCACACAATCACGAGGACCCTCCTCTACCCGTTGACCACGTGGACTCAAGAGAGAAAACACCTCCGACTCTCATAAGTGGCGTTTGTTAAAGAACTCTGGGCGTTTACCAAGCAGCCCTGCCCTACTCGATTCTTTTCCAGGTGCGTTTGCTAAAAGGCTTTGCTTGTCGGGGTGTTTATTCTGAGGGTGGTTCTTCTGCCCTCCTTTGACAGTTGTGCGTTTTTTCCTTGCTCCTAGGTTGCTCGTTTACTTCTTGGTCTTTCTCCTGCTTGGCCCTATTGCCCTCATGAACATCGTCACAGCAATGAACACGCTGTCGCGCATGACCAGTCACCACGCTCGGGGATACGCTGCGCTGCTACTGCAGCGATGCGAGCTTTTTGCGGTTCTTATTTCGGCGCCTCGCTGTCGGGCAGGGCGGAGGTGAAGGCGCCAGTGGAGATGGAGAGGGGATCGCTGTGAAGAAAAGGGGCTTTGAGGCCTGAGGTTTTTGGTCCTTCTGCGCTTTCCTCATACCACGGGACCTTCAGAAAACTGCTCGCATTGTGGGGTGCAGGATCTCTTTTGAATCCTCTCTTCCATGGCAAGAGGAGTAGTTCCCGAGTTGCGATTTGCTACAGGGTGTCTCCGCAGTGGTCCAATATTTCTCCCGCGAATCCTTCTTTTGGGGTTTTGGCGGCAGATCCCCTCTGGCGCAGTCCGTGCGCGCCCGCTAGAGGACGCCCGCAGTCTCGAGCTCTCCCAGACGGGTCGAAGTAAAAGTTGACACACTGCCGGTCCAGCTGCGATGAGCTTCCTGGAGGGTTCCTTGCAGGCATGTCGGCGACTTCTGGGGCAGTCTGGCGATTGTGCGGGTGCGTAGTGCCGTCAGGGGAGGTCTCGGGCGGGGCCGTCGCGGTGAGCGTCTCAGAGGCCGCCTGGGGGTTCACGTGTTCACGTGCGCAGGAGGCATCCGCAAGTGGGGCCGTCTTGAGGCCGACTGGGATTTTGCCAAGCTCCTGTCTTTGGCGGGTCGTGGGCCACTCTGGGCCCACTCGAGCCTCGTGGGCCGCTTGGGGGCGGATTGCGTACGGGAGGTTCGCGCCGCGTTGGCGCGGCGGCGATCCCAGCGCTGGCGTTCAAGGTTGAACGCCGCCAGTGGCCCAGAGTCGGCCGATATCGAACGATCTGCGCTATCAGAAAGCCGCGATCGTTCATGATTGAACGACCCACGCGTTGTCAGAAACCAAGGCCCATGCCATCGCGACAGGATCTTACCGTATTCGACCTCGTGTCGGTGGTTTACGCTTCACGGGCGCTTTCTTGAGACGAGGAGATGTCAAGACCTGGGCTGGCACCAACTGAGAGTCTCTCGGCGTCGGCCTTGCGGGGGATGGGCCACCGAAGCCCGAACATAATCAGAACGTACAGACTCGTCCGACCTAGATCACCACGAGCGGCGGCGACGGCGGCCGACTAGTGGTCGTATACGAGGGCTCCCGCGAAAATGATCCCACACCACAGAAGGCCTTCGAAAATAGGTGATGATGCCGTCGACGACGGCTCGGCATCTCCCAAACATACGTACAAACCATATGTGCGTCGAACCCGCAGGGGCGACGCTGGCGCTCGGAAATGTACAGTGGGGGCCCATGCCAAGAAACACCCTGCTTGCCTCCAGGTTGCCCTGGATTTCTCGGGTTTCGATGGTTTTCTTGTGGAAATCGTCACGTTCGCATACCAAGAGTCAATGGAGGTCCCGGGGTCTCAGGGTTGGGTTTCTTGTGAAAGGTTTCTTGTGGACTGGCCTTCGCTGTAGCATTAGGCAGGTTGCCGGGCGCTTTCTGGCCGTACCGCGCGGCTGACGACTGTGCCGTGTGCTTGGTCCGGACCTGCGCCTCCGATGATGGAGGCGGCGGCGACGGCGACGACGAGGGGCCACGGCGTGGTGGTGCGCACGCCAGCCGCCGCGGGGGCGTGGCCGCGGATCATGGTCGAGTCCTCCCTCCGCACCGCCAACGAGGACCAGGAGGCAAAGAAG